GCGCCCCGCCACCCCCCGGAACACCCTACTCGCCTCTGCTGCCTCTCGTAGCGCCCCGCCCGGACCTGCTGCTGCTGCTGCTGCGGGTCGCAGCGCGACCGCGAGAATATGGTGAGAAGGGTTACAGGGGGTCAACATTCTCACAACTGTACAACCTGCAAGTGTGTGGTTTAACCCCAACGATGATTTGCTATGATTTGCCGAGGGGGCCTCAACTCTCTTGTAGGATGTACACCAGACCAGATTGCCAAGATTGCCAGATTGCTTGACGAATACTTAGCTTTAAGGGCATAAACCGCCTATAACTGGGCAAAACGCACTAATGTCACCCTGAATGTCGGCAAAAAAACATGGCTTTTGCAGCACATTACCTAGAGATTGCCGAAGATTATCGTAGATTGCCGGGGTGGGTGTACACCAGATTGCCGGAGTTGAGGCCCCCTCGTGATTTGCTATGACCTGCTGGCGAGACCATGTTTAAAGACGGTTGGATCCTAGAACTCACCAACTCACCATCCTGAGGTTTGTGACTAATGATGTGGTTCTTCTGCGAGTTCGGGGATAATCTAGAAAGTATTCCTTCGTTCGGCAAATATTACAGGGAGCTCGGCGCCTGCGAAAATCAGGGTAGGCCAGCCAGCAGTACACGCGTGCACTGCAGGCAAGATGTTGCCTACCGATCAGGCGCTATGAGAGCCCGCAGTGGCTGAACTGGGCAGTTTCGCGAAGTCAAATGGCGCTCGTACCAACTGGGCGGTCCCTAAGTCGATGGGCCATGCGGACACACAGTCCGACTGTAAACAACTGTCGCTATGAGCAGTGCAGTCCGAGCGGGGGACGGAAGAGCACAGACGAGAAAGTCGGCCAATGCTGCCGTAGGGCAGACCTTCGAGAGACTCAAGAGCGGTTTTTGTCCACAGGAGGAAAAGCCGTTGAAACAGTTTCTCATACCCAGTTCCGCACTGCTGCCGTGTCTATAGACCACGACAGGCTTCCTCTCGACTCCTTTGTGGTCCCGGCGGTCCGATGCGATGCGCTTTGGCTTGATTGAGTCGCCTCCTGAACGAAGTCCCCGCCCTGTCTTTTGGTTACAGTGGCACTCCTACTCGGCGGCGATCGCCCTGCTGCTGGTCCTCGCGGCTGCCAGCACACCTGGCCATGCCAGTGGTGAGTACTTATTGTGCACTCGATAGCTGCAGGAGCTGCCAGAAAAAGCAGGCGAAAGAGGAACCACGCCGGGAGCACAACTGTGTGCAGTGGGCCGCACCGACGCCTACCATCTAGGCAAACCGCAACGCGCGCGTGCAGATGTTGCCTTCGAGACATATAGAGATACGCGCCCGTTGCACTCGGGTGTGTGCCGGCGGTTATAGTCTAAATTTCTGGAAGCACTGCACGCACACGCAAAAAATGAACGTGTTCTTAAAGCAGCTCATAAAATGTTGCTGCTTTTTTTTCAAACATTACTAGCATTGAGTTTATGTAGACTTTCTTTGAAGTGTCCCTACGTCTCCTCTGTGCTAACGGTTACGTTCCACGGGCGCAGGCAACCTGGGGAGCCTGTTCTCCATGTTCATGAAGGGGCTCGGTGGTGGCGGCGGCGGCGGTGGCAGCAGCAGCTACCTGCCCCCTGCCCAGAGCGCACCCCGCACGAGCTACGGGCCTCCAAGCCAGGCCAGGCCTCCCAGCACGAGCTACGGGGCCCCCAGCCAGTCTAGCTACCGCCCGCCCAGCTCTAGCTACGGAGCCCCCAGCCGTCCGTCGAGTGGTGGCAGCTCCGGCAACAGTTTAGGCGGCCTAAACTTAGGAAGCCTGTTTAGTAAATTTAGCGGTGGAGGTGGCGGCGGCGGTGGAGGAAAGGGTGGCGGCGGGGGCG